AATTTATAAAAAGGAATTTGTATTGGCATTAAACCTAGGATTTCGAGAACCTCAAACTTACTAGGGATTAATAACAAAATTTAGCCCTCCATGAGAATGAGGTTCATCATTACAAGAGATAAAATCCAATAAAACTCCAGAAAATTAAAGTAGAAATGAAAGAAAGAGTAAGATGAAGAATTAACCCTAATTTGGAACCCTTGGTAGCCACCCAAGGTCTAACCTAAGCCTCTGCAAATGTATCTAAAATGAAAAATATAAGAAATGTCAAAAAGATCTCTATCCTAAAAGTAAAACTCCTATTTATAGTAAAAATAACGCTTCCTAGAGTGATCACTTTAGTTGTTGATAGTGTTTACGCCCATCCCATTGTAGCTTCTCTTCTTTGTAGTGTTCAATTTCACTAGTAAAATTGATTACATGCAGCTTCGCTAGAGTGAAATGAATGCGCGTGTTTACTATGAGTAACGAAAGTAAACATGCACAACCTCTTTGCAGGAAATTCTCTCTGTATTCTCATGAATACAAAATATTTACCATGTTCTAATGATGGGACAAAACTCTTCTTACCTCGATTAAAAGATTTTTAAAAAAATATAAGGAAGATATCGTCCAAGTGACTAAGCTTTCCCTATATATTTCAAAGTGGAGCACTGTTGAGAAGAAAGAAAATAGAGAAAATAGAAAAGGGATTGAATGGTTAAGCTCCGAGCAACTTACTTGGAGTTGATCGGAACAAAGGTTTAAGTATAGATTCAAGAGAGAGTTGAGGTTTAAGGAAGGTTGCTCTAAGAAAGAAAGGTGAGAGAACAGAGAGAAATGAGAGCAAAGGTTGTTTGACTTCTAATGTAAGTTTTTAGAATAAAAGTTCTTTAAATACCTCTCTAAACTCGCGCATTTTCACTTGAGCTAGCAGACTCTTGCTTGACTGAGGTCTACTCTCGCCTAGGTGAGACCTCTTTTGCTTGGGCAAAAATATTAGACAAAGGTTTTTATCCATTTTTCTGATATTTTCACAAAAGTGAGACACCTAATCACCTAAGTGAGAATGGGTCCAGATAGCGTCCCATTTTTCTTATGACTTCTCGCTTGAGCGAGGCATATCTCACTTAGGCGAAAGGACAGTTGAGGCAATATTATCTCTTCTCACCTAGGCAAGACTCATCTTACCTGAGCTAGAATGCTCTAGAACACCTAGTTCAAAAAGCTTAATCTTGCTTAAGCGAGACATATTTCATTTGATCGAGACTCTCTAAAGCTACTAAAATTCAAACTCTCATAATTTAAAATCAAATATAATAAAAAATAAATAACAAAGAGAAAATGAGAGTGTTAGAGTAACAATATAGATACTAAAAGAATTACTACTTTCATATTCTTTTTGAAGAGCTACTTTATTTGAATTTTTCATCTTTAACTAGTGAAAAGAGTAATAGTACTTCTGCTCATAAAAATTAATAGATGAATATAATGATTAACTTATTATTGTAAAAAGAATTACTTAAAAAATAAATTCAAAATAACAACAACCTCATAAAATTCATACCTTAAACATGATAAGGAATAGAAATTTAAGCTTACCATAAAAGAAAAAATTTGATGAAAAAGTATTTGAATATAATACTATATAATATATACTATGAATTATTATATTGATAAAAAAAATTAAATATAACATAATATATCATATATTATATTATAATTATAATAATTATTGTTATTACTACTACTGCATACCTTTATAATTTTACAAATATTTACCCATACTTGTAGAGCTACCAAAATAAGTAAGGCTAATTTCTTGCTTAACAAAATGTAGGGCTTACCCTTTAAATTTTGAGTTTAATTTAAATTTGAGTCTTTTTAACTCAATGTAATCAAGTTTACTGCTAGTTAAGTCCACAAAATCCTATATAATTATGTTTTGAGCATTATTTTTATAAGAACAATTTAAATTTAAGCATTTTTAGCTTGACTAACCCGTCACTGGTTGGATAGCTTGTTTTGCCTTATATATCTATACTCGTGTGATTAAGCGAATAATTACCTTATCCTTTGTAGTTTTTTTTTTTTTTAAATACCCATTGAATATTATACTCATTGTCATTCTTATGACAGGATTGACACATTATAAAACTTTTGTGATGCATTAAATAATTGGAAACTGGTAATTTTAAAACTATTTAAATGGGTTAACTTAGAATATTTGACTTGGTGTATTACATATTAAATTTAAGAATAACCTGATTCAATTTAAAGTCTACTTCTGCAAACTCTCAATCAGATTCTTCGGGATCATCCACTCCGATTAAGTCATCAACCCAGAAAGCTATCTAAATTATTGAGTCATCTACCCAACAATCTGGAATTCCTAAAAATGAATCAACCAATAAGGTCAATTCTTCCCAATCAAAAATATCCAAACAAACAAAAGTAGATTATACTTTACTTATTAGTACACTTTTAGCTATCTAACAAAGAAGTCTGAGTAGTCTACCTAAAAAATTTTGTGCAGATATTGCCTCTGAAGACGAAATGGAGTTAGACTTAATAAGCTAAATACCATTGTCCAATCCTTAACCAAAACAATTAACCTTCCTACAGAGGCTAGTAAAGCTATTTCTCTCCAAAAGGATAAATAGATTCAAACCTCTAAAAAATCTCAAAATTTCTCACATTATATTGCCAAGGAAAAATTTTCCTCAGTATTATAAATGGAGCTTGAATTTTGAGACAAAAATCCTTACAAAGCTATTTCTAAAGCTTTTCCTTTTGGTTTTCATTTCAGACCTTATGCTTTAAATAAAACTAGACAATTTTATGAATTTATCTTAGTGGATTCAGATTTTGTTTCCATTAAATATTACAAAGATCAAAATGATCCTTCAATCATTACATATTCAACCATCCAAATTCTCAAAGTATTAAGTTCAAAAACTTTTGGGAACAATTTAAACTCTTACAAAAAATTCTTCCAACTCTTTGATGCAGTAGGATATAATTATTGAGATTATATTGACGCTTGGACCAGAATTTTTTGGTATCAAAATAAGCTTAATCGACAATCTTGGTTAATCTACTTCAAAAAGAATACAAATTATGATTTTTCAAATTGGTTCTTACAATTGTGGGACTTCTTTGGACCAATAGAAGAGATTTTTCCTTCTCTAGTAAAAGAATGATATACTCAATTCAAGAGTAGATATTCATAGGAATCAAGAATCCCTGTGGATCTTAAATATTTCTCTGTCTTTGCTCTAGCATGGATATTCTCATGGCAATACAGATATAGCAAAATAAAAAAAAGAAGTTCTCCCTATTCTTCACAGGTATTCCTTCGTGAAATGGTGGAATCAATTTAAGGCAGACCATGCTGGACCTTCAAAAGTCGATGAGTTTTTTGGAGCTAATCCCAAATTGTTAAAACTTGCTGATCCAGCAACATTCCAATTTCTAAATCAGAAATCAAGAATTGCAGCCTTATTATCAGGATGTGATTCAATAGAGAAGTTAAAAGACAATTTTAAAGATTTCCTTCTTCTCCTTCAAAATTAAGATGAAGCTGAATCTTCTACAAAGAAAGATTCTCAATCCAAAATTGCTAAAGACTATTTTTCTGAGTATTATAAATAGAGCCTAAATTTTTAGACAAAAATCTTTACAAAGCTATTTCTAAAGCTTTTGCTTCTAGTTTTCATTTCAGAACTTATGCTTTAAATAAAATCAGACAATTTTATGAATTTATCTTAGTAGATACATATTCTGTTTCCATTAAATATTACAAAGATCAAAATGATCCTTAAATTATTACACATTCAACCATCCAAATTCTCAAAGTATTAAGTTTAAAAAATTTTGAGAAAAATTTAAACTCTTATAAAAAATTCTTTCAATCATTTGACGCAGTAAGATATAATTATTGAGATTATATTGATGCTTAGATCAGAATTTTTTGATATCAAAATAAGCTTAACCACACTCTTGGTTAATCAACTTAAAAAAGAATACAAATTATGAATATAACTGGTATCAGTTATATAGGCAATAAAATAAGGGATCATTCTACCAAAATTGTTTGAAAAGGACCAAAATCGGCAATAAAATAATACAATAAGCCTTCTCTAACAGTTTATATGTTAAGTTTTCAATTAGTAATTATGACTTTTAACATTACTCTGATAATTTTACACAAATTTGATTTTGGTCGGTGTGTAACAACTGCAGACTCAATTACATAATATTTTTATGCTTTTAAGTAATTATTAAGATTATGTTATAAATTTGTAAAAGAAATAATTTTAATGTACCCTTATTAAAAAAATTATATTCTCAATCAATTAAAATTTATTATAAATATAATTTTAAATTTATAATTATTACTGATATAGCACAATCTATAATTAAATAACGATATAAAATCAGTATAGTTAAATTAAATTAAGAAAATATTATATGTTACAGATTGCGAGGGATACCACAAAAAAATACAGATTTTGATAATCTTTCACTTACTTTGTTTAATGTTAATGTTTCCCTTCTTTTTGTTTTCACTGTTCCCAACCTCTTTATCTATGCAATCTGCTAAGTTTCTCGCTGTACTCTCCCTGCACGTTTTCTGTTCTTGTTTGCAGTGTCACTGTCCGTGTCTTCAGCCACACCAAGAGTCCCTGTCTTGTACACCATTGTTTACTTCCTTCCTTACACCTCTCTCTCTCTCTCTCTCTCTCTCTAACCAGCATTGAGCCTTGAAAGCATGGAACTTTCCTCAACCTGTTCCAAAACTTGAAACTTTTGGAATGATGCATTAATGGGTTTGGAACCAAACATCACCTAATCCAATTCTCAATTCTTTACACCCTCCAACTTTTCTTTTTTATTATATTTATGCACTCTTCTTCTAGAACAAGGGGTGCTTGTTGAAGAGCTACAAACCCAAAAGATACAAACTTTGAGGTTTCATGTTGTGTTTCAACCTCTGAGGAGGCTTTGTTTCTTGGAAAATGTCAACTCTTCAGATGTCTTGTGTGGATTTGGAGCAAGGAATTCATCATCACCACCGTTCTGTGACTGGCAGTGACATGAGCATGTGCTTTTCTGATGCTGAGAATGGTTCTTGCTATTCCCATTTCTATTCAACAAATGGTGACACTTATGATGATTATAGCTTTGCTTGTGTTTCTGATTCTGAGGATGAGGGTGCTGGTGATTTTAGGAGGGATTCGTCTGTTACTGATTGTTCTGTGGAGGTGGAAATTGAAAGTAGGGTTCCTGAAATTAAGGTGCATTTGGCCAAAGTGGAGAAGGATTGTAGGATTTGTCACCTGGGTTTGGAAAGCGATAGTCAAGATTGTGGAGTTCCCATTGAATTGGGTTGTTCTTGCAAGGGTGATTTAGGTACTGCTCACAAGAATTGTGCTGAGGCTTGGTTCAAGATTAAGGGGAACAGGTCAGTTTATTCTTTAAAGCCTATATTTTCGTATTTGGACTGTGAAACTTGATTATTATTATTTTATTATTATTATTATTTTAATTTCATGATTTTGGGGAAAAAAATAGATGCCCCCTTCTTGATTCTTTGCATTGAGGATTTGAACATTTTAATTAGCCATGTCATATAGAAAATTTTACAATTACTGGCATCTTATGTTTGCTTGATGGGTATGATATTAAAAACTGTAAGTAGAAAAATTATGAAATATAATTAAGTTGTGGATGGTTTAATTGAATGTTGAATAAAAGTTTGAAGGTGGTGGAGAAAGTACTTTGGTTAAATATATAGCGCTGTTAAGGAACAAAAACTATGAGGAAGCAGGTTTCATTATTTCTTCAAGAGAGGGGAATGATATGGAAGATTACATTATTTAAAGATGATTTAAAAAGAAAGGCATAAAGCATTAGCCAGTCCCACTGATTAGCTGACTTGGGTAAGCAAAGTAGGATTCCTTGTTGCTTTGTCCCTTTTCTGAAATTAAGAAATTTTCATATTACTCTCTTTTCATTCTCTTTGTCACAATCAAAGTGGAGCTTTGATGCCTTCTCTATTCTGTTCTTGTATTTATATACATCATTTTTTCCTTGGTGGATGCTTATATTGATGATGTGTCCTTAACAAAAAAAAAAAATTAAAGATTGTTGTTAATTTGTTCATTTATGATGTATGATGACATCAAACTTTAAGTAATTGTTTTGAGAATCAGAAAATAATAAATTTCCTGATCCTAGTCAAAGTACTTTGATGTATAAAATATTGCCACACTGTAAAGGTTCAGCAGTGTCTCTTGCAGATGGCAGAACAGTTAAAACCTGTACTCATGCCACTGTGCTAGCTAATGCCTGATTTCTTAATTGCAACCCATAAATTCTAAACCAAGTGCTATAATTTTTCTTTCCTTTTCTAAATAAATACATGGTAGTGAAAATATTTATTGATGGATTATCTGTTTTCCATGCTTGGGGCCATTTGTTAAGGAAGGGTCATATATATATATATATATATATATATATATATATATATATATAATGCTTTGGTATTGTTGGAAAATTCATGAGACTGTTTGTCGTATTCTTTTTTTTTTAATGGCTACATGGTTTATCATGTGAGGGGATTGCTAGTACCACCTTTTTTTTTTCTGGCTATTCACACCACCTTTTTATTGTCACTTTCAGAATTTCAATTTTGAAAATTATAAAATTACTTTGAGAATTTAATTTCTGGGAGAAGAAAAAAAAAGTGGTTCAACTAACAAAATTGGGTGGTGAAAAAAGCAATCAATATCATGTGATTCTGTCATAATCTCAAAGACAATTGTAGATTTGATGAAGGAATGAATCAAGTGAGGCCTGGGCGTACAGGCATCAAAAGCTGTCTAATATGGCTTCATTATACATCATAGTAGATCAAATATATCAACTGAAAATACACTTTCATTCAATTTGAATAAAATTCCTCATGATATGTTGAGAGTTGGGTTTGGGAAGAGAAGGGAGGAGATGATAATTTCTTTTTATTTTTAAATTAAAATAATTGTGTAATGTTTATAAAAATAAATAAAAGATTTGGATATGAAATTTGTTCTTTTAAACATATTTTAATAAGTTTCACCACGTAAATTGTTTAAATAAGTTATTTTTATCATATCTGCTTTCTTCTACTTATGTAACTGTACAAATTGTAGCAATTTATTTGAACAGCTTTCTCTTTAGTTTTATAAATTTGTAATATTGTTTTGATTGTATTTGTGTTTGAATTCAGGACATGTGAAATATGTCATTCTGTGGCACTGAACGTTTATGGGGCAAACGAGGATACATCACAGAGTTTGAGTGATAGCAACAATGGTATTGCCATAGCATCCACAATCACAACACAAACCCAATCTCCAGATACTCGAAGATTTTGGCAGGGCCATCGCTTCCTCAATTTTCTGCTTGCTTGTATAGTTTTTGCATTTGTCATATCCTGGCTTTTTCACTTCAACATGCCCTCATCGTAATTTCTGAACCATAGGTAAAGAAAAATAAAAAATAATTTAAGAGGAAGAAAAAAAAATAGAAAGGAGAAATCATAATTTATAATCCATAGAGATTGTTTCTTAGATGACTAATCTATAATGTTGAGTTTTTTTTTTTTTCTCTTTTTGACCTTTTTCTTCTATTTTCGCAAAATCAAATGTGATTTATGGACGAATATTAAATGTATATCGTAATATATTGTTGCCCCCGCTGGCTTTTTTCCTCCGATTAGTTGTTTTGCACAACCGATGAAGATTAATTTTTGCACACTTATTTTTGTTAGCTATATCTATTGTTTTTGTTCTTCTAGATTTTAATTTTGGAAGTAAATTTAATATATTTTAGAAAATAAATTTCATGATTCATTTACAAACCATTTTGGAATTGAACTTTGAAATTGATTTTACACCTTCTGAAAATTATATTCAAGTTATTTATATTTATAAATTATTTTTAAATTTTCATTTTAGAGGTGATTTTATATATTTCAAGAATTAAATTCTAAAAAAATTAATAAATGATCTTTCGAATTTAATTTTTTGAAATATATTAAATGTAATTTTGGAAATTGAATTTTAAAAGTTACCAAAGAATGGGTGATGCGAATAGTAAAAAGAAATGGTGCAAATAGCAATTGTCTAACTGAAATTTTCCAACAAGCCCACGATGCAATTGCAGTCAAAGCAAATAGTTTGACCAGACCCACTTCTTTTATTCACACCACACCGCCTATTGACCTAAAAACAAAAATACCGTCCCAAAAACTCAGAAATGTCCGATTTATGATTGCACCGAGATTCTTTTTAGTCACATCACTTTTTTACTTTTTTAAAATTAAATTTTGAAATATATTAATTATTTTTGAATTTTTAATCATGTCACTTTTTTATTTTTTGAAAATTAAATTTTGAAATATATTAATTTTTTTAAATTAAATTTTAGAAGTTATTTTGAGTATTTAATTTTACGAAAGGTGGTGCAAGAAGAAAAGGCCCTATGATTGATATAAATCGTTTGGCTAACTTCTTGATGGGTTCGAATACGATAATACATATGCGTTTTGCACGATTAATCGATTTGTGATTACCGTCAGTTGTAACGGTATAATTTATAAAGGAAATGAGTGTGTTGCTTTAAAAATAAATAAAAATTTATTAAAATACAATGTGACATAACTTTTAACTCATTAAAAAGAAAGATTTATATAAGACTTAAATTGTCTGCTAAATATGTTAAATTTTATATTGATTTCACAATATAAACCTAATTACTCAACAACATAATTATGGATGATGTTAATTACATGATCAGTGTTTGTTTACAATAACATCAAATAAGTGTAATTGAGTTACATATAATTATTATCTTTGATAAGAGTTCTTTTATTTAGTCATACTTGATTTAAATTTATTATTTGCATGTTCATGACAAACCCAACGTAAAAGAGTAAGTTAATATAGTCTGATTATATTAGTGTTGTTGATAATTTTTTAATTTGAATACTTTAATGTCATACGTATTTAAATTCTAAATGATAATTCATATTTTCATATTGTATATTGTTTAATTTATTATAAAATTTCTTTTTCATATAATCTGAAACATAAATAATAAAGACATAAGATAACATTTAATAACATATAGCATAATATAATTAAAAATGACAAATAATACATACAATATAGTGCAAAATTCTCACCACTACCTGAAATCATAAAATACGAATATAATTAAAAAACTAAAATTACAAAATAAAATACCTCTGAAGGAAAATTACAAAGGGAGGAGGGAAGATTGATATGAAGCTCTCTAGAGGCAATGAAAATGGAGAAAGAGAAAGAGAAAAGAAGGGGAAAGGGGAAGGATGGTGACCATTGGTGTTGCACCACATATTAGCATATGAGGCAATATTGTCTCTTATAAGATGAAACCAATATTACTCCATTAAAGGTAGATATTGCTTCAAATTATGATTCATGTCAAAGATGCTCCCCACTTGTCCATTTCAAATTTTAAAAAAGGTATATCTCCTTTTTCATGACATACATGTTTGGTATTATTTTTTCAGGTGTGATATATGTTTTATTTTCTATAAAAATAATATCACCTATTTTCTAGCAATACTTGTTTAGACATGTCTTAGGATCAAATCAAGTATCACTTTCCATGAGGCAATACTTTAAGAAAAAAATGAATTAAGTCTTGCACATGCATAAGTATCACACATGCATGTGCAATACATTGTGTGAAATGACAAAAAATGCTCTAATAAAAAATTAACTTGGTACTAATGTTAGTTTAGAAATTTATTTTTTTAATTATATTTTTTAGCAAAAAAGCCTAAAAAGTAAAACTGTTATAGAGAGTGTAATGAATAAATTATTTTTAAACATTATAGTTTTTTTTAATGAAATTATTAAAATATGAAATTTTTTTACAAAATTTTCTAAATATGGTTTTTCTAAAAAAAAAAGTCAATGGCGATTTTATAGCACACAAAAAAATAAAATTTCATAAAGAAATGTCATCATTAGCGAGTTTAGGGGGATAACAAGTAAGAAAAATTGCCATTGGCGAGTTTTAGGAGGAAACGTACTAGGAAAAATCATCATTGGCAATGCATTTTCTGATGCTTGAGTATTTGTGTATTCCTGAAACGTGAAATTTCACAAGCTAATCGGCATAGACTATTGCATTGGTAGAGCATCATACACTGATTCTGGTTGATACACATCCTCCTCATGTATAGAAACATCTTCCATAGTTTCTTCTTCATTTAAGTCAAAGTTTGGAGCCAAATTGCTTTGGGGAAGGTGAAGCTGCATCTACCACAAAATCATATGTTGAAATAAATCCATGAGAAATTCCATTGGTACTACTACAATCAACTGACCTTTGACCTCGTTCCTGCCTACTTGTTTGACCCATCGAATATTTGTCCTACCTACATACATACGTCCTTATTGTGGTTGTGGTTATGGTGATTATTCATCCCATTGAAGAGGTTGTCACTCATTCCTTTCAGGTGACTAATAATACTCTTGATTTAGTTATACAGAAGCTGATGAAATCTCTTGTGGCTGGATAGGTTGTGCATCCATAGGAATGTCTTTATGCTCAAAAAGTGACGATTCCATAGGCAACAGTTCTTGTTGAGGTGTCAGGTCTTCCATTTGTTGGGATAACCATAGCCAATTCATTGCATACAATGTGTACCATGTCCAATATTCAAGAGAAGGATAGAAATTCTAAAATTGGACTCCTTCTAAAATACATTCATGTTGTGCTCCCACATTGTCACCCAATCATGATGTATGAGTGTCCAATCCTTTGGTTCTCTTACTTCACGTAGGTCTCTGTTATGAACTTTTTCAAGTTGATGGGGCTAAAGCGGAATAGGCTAAGCATATCTAAATTGATGCATGACATGGACAGTTACATGTCACTCTATAACTTCAAAACATATAAGAGGACTAACATTTGACCACACTTGCTAGTCACGCCTCACTTTATCTAGAGTTACTGCTCATCATCCACATATGGTGTCCACAAAAATTGTAATAAACAAATTTTATAAATGTTAATCCCCATTAAGAAAGGTTTATTTGGATATCATGATGTAACATGTTAATAAGAATTAGTAAAACTCTTTACCTCATTAATACTCATTTGATCCAATGCTAATCTAGTATTCTAAAGATTCTTAAATAGAGTATTCATTAGATATCACAGTGTCTCCATCTAAGACCAATTGATAATATTATTGGTTCTCCCGAGATTGGACCTAGCCATAGGAGGCAATGCCATGTCCACACATGCAGAAGTATCAAGCAGTTACAAATTTCTTTAACATCATGTCTAAAAGCACAATCCAACCTTTTATAAAGAGAAGCCAAGTATGCTGATCCCCAACTATAATTGTCAATTTCATTCACATCTGTTAACAACTGCAAGTATTTTGCATGTACCACTGAATTATTTTTATTTAGCATTCGAACATGTCCTAGCAAACAAAGAATATACCTACGAGCATGTTGCTGTAACTTAATGTCAAAATTAAAAGGAAGCCAACTAAGGTGTTGTGATAGTCACTTTAATCTAATTTCTAATCCTTCAATATTGTTTAAATCAGGTTGGCCTTTTATTAAATTTTTCCACATATCCTGTACTGTTACAGTAAAGAGATTTGTAAAACCAATCATTGCTACACCATTGATATTAAGTCAAAGTGACATATAAACATCTTCTAATACAATGTGAATTCTTCACAAACTAAGTCAAATATGTATGTTTCAGGCCTCCAACATTCCACAAGTGCATTTATAAGTAAATCGTTTATTTACATTTGACAAAGTTAAGAAATTCGATCAAAGCCAACATACCGTAAAATTTTCATAATTTCTATTCTTAGAAACATTATTGATAAGTGACGAGAGCGTAATAATCTCATTACTTATTATAAGTAATATAAAAAATTATTACTAAAATACACTATCTATATTAAATAACTCCTAAAAAAAATTTATAAAATAATATAATTCTTATAAAATCAAAATTTATTATAATAATATAATTAATAAAAATATTAACACTAACCCATTTTTAGCAATAAACATAGTTAATAAATTTAAAACAAATTCATAATGATTACTATTCAAATTATAATTCATTAAAATGCAATAAATAATTATTAGGGAATATACACTTTCAATACAAATATTCAACCATATTGTAATTAATTATTTTAAATTAATTCTCAAATTTTATTAAAATATTTTCTACATGTAAGTTAGTAATTACTAATTAATTCATTAATTACAAATTAACTTAACTAATTCCAAAATAAACCTAGTTAATCTATTACTAAATTGACCTAACTAATTTTGCAACAAAATTACATTATAATATAAGTACTTCTGTTCATATATAAAAAATTTATAATTAACACAATAAATTAATGATAACATTTTAAAATAAAAAT